TCATTGGGACTAATGAACTCTTCCGCTGGAATGAACAGTTTTTCTGGAATTCAGCCTGGGTGGGAGGGATTGGTACCTTTCTGGATGGAGAAATGCTGAACGCCAAGGCACCTTGCCAATCAGGCTCTGAGCTGACAGGGGCTTGGGGGATGTGGGGTGCTCTCTGCACCCAGCAGGCTTGAGCGACAGAACTCTGGGGACCCACTTGGCTGGCTCTGGTTCTGGGAGTCCCATGACCTCTGTTCTGCGTGGAGAGGTCCCAGGGGAGCTCCCACAGCATTCTTTGCCCTGACTCCACCTCCTACAGCTCATTGTTCATGTGTGGACCTCAAGGGGATTGTGTCCTCACATGACTTCCAGCCCTCCAATTCCAAATCACCCAAGCTTATGAGGCCCTTAGTCCTAACCAGGGCTTGTGTTCACCCAAAGCCCCTCTGGTGTTCCCCACAGCTATTCTGGGATTGTTGCAGCCCCCCATCCTTGCCTGCAGGAGGTCTGTGGGTGGCAGGCACTGCTCTGTCTGACCTCCCACTCAGCCTCAATTACTGTGGGCTGTCCCTGTAAGGTTAACTTTTCCCCAAGGCCCTCCTGAGAAGGCTGTCACATTGGCCTTGGAGCCTGTAAGTCTCCCCAGGCTGCTTGGGGGTGGGGTGAGAGGCAGGATAAGAGGAGCTGATAAGGAAGTGGGAGACTTCCAGTCCTTTCTTGCAGGTCCTCCTCTTCTCTCTCTGTGAGAGAAGAAGCCCTATCACCCTTTGCTCCTGTGATGTCTGATAAAGCAATTCAATTAACTGGCCTGGAAGGCAGCAGAGCATGCTGGGAAAGGATGCTGACTCCTTGGCCTGGACTTGAAGGAGAGGTTGGTCCTTGACAAGAGCTGGAATGCCCCAAAGCAGCGAAATGAGGAGCAAAGATTGGGACCTTGCCTTGGTGGCCATGCAGCCTGCTCCTTCAGCGAGTGGAACCCGATGAAAGATGGAGGAGATTCTGTCAGCCTGAAGAGGTGAGCCCTCATAAAACCCCTTCAGGGGGACAATGCCTGGCCTACAATTCAGGTTGTCAGCTTCACACTGGCAGGGTCAGCCTCAGCACCTAGAAGGCAAAATCCTTATCTGGGGGTCTCCAGAAAGGCTCAGGGGTTTGACATCACCCATATCCCCCCTTGAATCCCAGACAAGTGCTCTTCCATATAAACAGAAGAAAGAGTGCCAAAAGAGAGGAAAATGGAGACAAAGTGGGAAGAGGACAAAGACACTTGGGAATTGAGAATTCCCATGTGTGGCTGTCTATGGTCTTGTTTAAGTTTGCCAAACTATCAGGGTCTGGGAGGAATGGAGGAGGAGACAGTAGGCAGCATCTGTAATGGAACACTAGGCTGGAAGAGTTATCCCAGGTCCAGGAGCTCCAGAAAGCCCACGGGGGTGAACCCAGAGACAGACCCTCTTCTCCCAGCGAGTCCAGAGCCAGGCTGTCTTCCACCACCAGGGGGCAGCACTCTCCCACCCACAGTAGGCTAGTACAGAGCTGGCAGGCATGGAGTTAGGGGGACTCCTCTCCCTCCTAAACTCCCTTAACACGGACGGCATGACCTCACACACAGAAAAAATTGATGGAGACAAGCCCTTGATGCCAACCAGAGCACCCTGACACCAGGAGCAGAGCCTCGACAGGCTCAGGTAACAGGTCAGCCCAGTGTGCTAATAGAACCTTCTGCAAGCACTGAGGTCCTCTCCCCAGAACTCTGCCCCAAGACTGAATTCCCCCTTGCTAGCCTGGACCTGGCTTGAGGGGAGGTGCACCTATTGGTGCCAAGTCGCCCCTCTCAACCTGGACCATCCAGTTATGTCAGCTCGTCTTGGGTCTTTCCTCCCCTCCTGCCAGTGTCTCACTCCACCCTTTCCCCAGGAACTTGTGGCCATTCACAAGCAAAGCAAAGTAGAAGCATCAGCTGGGCAGAGGGCAGGGCTTCCCTTGCTCTGGGAAGGGCAGATGGGACAGGAGACTCTGGCTTGGCACTGATGTGTTTCTGGTGTCTGAAACAGCTTCCAGCCATGTAGTATGGGTTATCAATCAATATGTGTTGAATGCACGAGACAGGTGTAGGTTGCCCCTCTCTCTGGATGACTGAGCCCAGTGAATCTGGATGGACAGCATGGGAGAGACTCCCAGGGGATTGCCAGGACCTGTCCGGAGGAGACTTGAAGGTTATCACTACAGTAACAAAAACCTTTAAAATATTTTAAAATTTTTATTGGAAAATCAGATTTACAGAGAAAAGGAGAGACAAAGATGTTCTGTGCACTGGTCCACTCCCCAAGTGGCCGCAACAGCGAGAGCTGAATTGATCTGAAGCTAGGAGCCAGGAGCTTCTTCCGAGTCTCCCATATGGATGCAGGCTCCCAAGGGTTTGGGCCTTCCTTTACTGCTTTCTTAAGCCACAACCAGGGACTGGAAGGGAAGTGGAGCAGCTGGGATATGAACTGGCACCCACATGGGATCATTAGGATACTGCACCGGGTCCTACAGTACACTCTTACTATCTTCCTGAAGCTTCTCCAAGTACCCTCCAGCTGGTCCTAGGTCTCCTCTTCCAGGTGAACCTGGCACGGGGCAAACGCCAACTCTGAATGCAAACAGGCCCAAGAAGTGGGGAGGACTGGACTTGAAGCCTCTCATGAAAACACACAAGCTCCCTACGTTCTGTCCCCTCTGGGCATCCAGGGCAGGTGTGTCAGTCACCCTGCCTTTCTGCCTCCAAATCCTCCTTGCCTTCTCCAGACAGAAACTGGAGGAAATTTTTTTAAAGATGAAAAAGAGGTTATGAACAAATGAGAACAAATGAATCTGGAAATGGCTCATGGGCTGGGGGCCAGTGCGGTTGGGCCGGTGCCTACAGTCTTGGATACGGCAGCTTCTCAATCACTTAGCAAACAGGTTTCTTGGAGGCAGGCACTGAGGGAGCCATCAAGATGAAAAAGCAGCTGAAACCTGGAGGAGCTCAGGGTCAGAGGGGTTAGAGGAGGCTCATACACAGGCAAAGTCAACTCACAACGAGTGGAACAATACAAGATGGGGTGGAGTGGGGTGGGGTTGAAGGAGGACAAGACAGGAAATGACAAGTCCTGGGCACCTTCTCCGGGACTCCTAAGAACTAGGCTTTCCGTCTAAGGCTCCTGCAGGGCCAGCGGCCCCCCACACCGCAGCATATTTCACCATGGACAGCGCCAGAGCTTTGAGTCCCTGCTTTAGTGTAGCAATTGCTTCGGCGCCCCAGGCCACCATCTCCCATTCCATCGTGGGGCCTTTGGTGACTGTGAACTTCCCTGTGCGTCCAACGAGCTAGATGGAAGCGGGATGGTCAAGAGGCCCCAACAGGGTCTGTGTCCTCGAGGCACCTTCTCTCCACCCTCCCTCTCCCTCGGCCTCGATTCAGCCGCAATGAAACGGCAACAATGCAAACCGCCTGGGCGGGTAGCTGGCGTCCGGTGCAGCGTCCAGAAGCGGGCGGAGGCTAGAGGTAAGGGGTCCTGAGCCATTTTAGTGTCGCTCGGGCTGCAGTGGGAGGAGCTGCGAGCTAGGGGAGGCGAGGAGCGGGGAGCGGGGGGCGCGCGGGAGGGGATGGGTGCGGAGACGCGCAGGGGCGGCGCTCCGGGCCGGGCACTGGCTGTGAGCGGGTAACGCGCCTCAGCGGGGTTCGGCTCAGCGGAGGACAGCAGGCAGAGCTCTGCCACCCCGGCCCTGCAGCAAACCAGGCCGGCCCCGCGCCTCACCCTTTCCACCCCGCCCGGCGGAGGGCGCGCCCAGGCGAGGCGGGGCTGGGAGGAAAAGGCGCCACTGGAGCGTGGCATCTGCTGCCATCGCCGGAGGGAGACGAAGAACCCCTCTTGGTCCCCAGCCCGGTGGCGCCGAGGCGTCCCCCCCCCCCGAAGGCCACCTCGCGCCAGCCCCCCTGCCGCGAGCCAAGGCCGGCGCCGCACCCGGAGATGGGCAGACGCGTAGATGGCGTGGCTCCCAGCGCAGCCAGATCGCAGGAGCCAGGCGCCGGGGCGCTGCGCTGAGCCTCGGGTTCGGCGCGGCCCCGGAAGCCGGCAGGTGTCCTTGGCCGCTCGGCCGCTGCCCGGGGCACTCCTTCGCCAGTGCCCGGGGCCCGGCTCCCGGGAGCGGCCCCGCCCCCCAGGCTCGGCGCCACGCAGGACGCCCCGTCTGAGCCCCCCCGCCCCAGCGCGGCCCCCGCAGCTCTGCGCCCAGCCCGGCGCAGCTCCCAGCCGCGGACGCAGGACCCGAGGCTCGCTCCTGCCGGCGCGCTTGTTTTCCTGCTGCCGCCTCGCCCTGCGCAGTCCCCGCCCGCCGGTCCGCCGCGCTCGGCGCAGCCCCGCCCGGCATCCGTGCCCTCCGCTGGATTTATGAATGGGGGGAAGAGGCCACATGCCGCCGCCGCCACCTCGTGTTGACCACACACAGCCCGGGCCAGAGGAGCGCCGGCTGCCGTGAGAACGTTGGCTGGCCCCGGCAGCCGCCCTGAGGACTTGTTGCTGCGCTGCCGCCGCCGCGGGGAAATCGGCCGCTACCGGGCTTGGCGCGGTCTAGGAGCTGGACGGTGGCCCGCGTGAGTGTGAGCGCGCGCGTGCCCCGGACCCTAGCAGGGCGCTGGGACTGTGCGCTTTCCAGTCTCCTGGGGGAGGGGGCAGCAAGGGGGCGTGTCCTCGGGCCCCAGTGTCTGTGTGAACCGTCCTAGCCCGGGAGCGTGTCCTCTCCTGCCTCCCTCCCCGGCTCTGCCTTCCCAAACCCCAACCACCTGTGCATCCGAGAAACCCAACTCCTCCCGCTCAGCGCCCCGGGGGGAGAGAGGCAGGAGCAAAGCCACTCCGCTGAGGGACCGCTGCCTCCTCCTCCTCCTCCTCCTCCTGGTCTCCTCCCACTCCCCTGCCTGACGCTGCCTCCTCGGGAAGGGTGTTTGGAGGGTAGCGGCCGCCCCAAGCCGGAGCCCCGCAGCGCTTCTTATGATCAGCTCGGTGTGTGTCTCCTCCTACCGCGGGCGTAAGTCGGGGAACAAGCCTCCGTCCAAAACATGTCTGAAGGAGGAGATGGCCAAGGGCGAGGCGTCGGAGAAGATCATCATCAACGTGGGCGGCACGCGACATGAGACCTACCGCAGCACCCTGCGCACCCTGCCGGGCACCCGCCTCGCCTGGCTGGCCGATCCCGACGGCGGGGGCCGGCCTGAGTCGGATGGCGGCGGCTGTGGAGGCGCGGGCGGCAGCGGGGGCGGAGGCTGCGAGTTCTTCTTCGACCGGCACCCCGGCGTCTTCGCCTACGTGCTCAACTACTACCGCACCGGCAAGCTGCACTGCCCCGCCGACGTGTGCGGGCCGCTCTTCGAGGAGGAGCTCACCTTCTGGGGCATCGATGAGACCGACGTGGAGCCCTGCTGCTGGATGACCTACAGGCAGCATCGCGACGCCGAGGAGGCGCTCGACATCTTCGAAAGCCCGGACGGAGGAGGTGGCGGTGGCGGTGGCGGCGCGGGTCCTGGAGAGGAGGCCGGCGATGAGGAGCGCGAGTTGGCCCTTCAGCGCCTGGGTCCTCATGAGGGAGGTGCGGGGCCTGGCTCCGGGTCCGGGAGCTGCCGTGGCTGGCAACCCCGTATGTGGGCGCTCTTCGAGGACCCCTACTCTTCCCGGGCAGCCAGGGTGAGTGACAGAGTTCAGGGGCACATGGCCTAGTGTGGGTGAGAGGCATCAGGGGCCACAGCACCCTGCAGTTCCCTGTCTCTGCACGCGCCATAGGGAGGGTGAACGCACCTGACTTACTACTCGGCCCCATCCCAGCTGTCTGCTTTGCTGCATCCCCTCCAAGCAAGTTGGGAGGGGGGGGTGCCCTCGGTCCAGCTCCTCCACCACACCCTTCGTTGATCCACCCAGGCCAGCCCCACCTTCAACCGGGTGGCAATCCAGGAGAGCTAGAAGTTGGCCTTCTGCTGGGGAGACAGAGCCCCCCCAACCAGGGTGCCACTGCATTCACACCATGCTTCTTGTTTGTTTTTAGCGGAGGGGCCAGGGCTTATAGGCCTTCAGCAGCACGCAGGAGGCTGAGTGCACATCAGAACCCAGGCCTGTGTCCAGGGCCCTGAGAGGCCTTCTTCTAGGGAGTGTGCATGGCACCACCACCTCCACCGCCCTCCCCACCCCGCCCCTGCCTCCTGCTAGCGCACCTGCAATGTCCTGGCCACAGTAGGGTAAAGGGGAGAGTTAGGAAGAGCCATACATCCTCTGCCTTTCCAGCTTCCACGCCTGGTGGCCAGCCGCAGGCTTCCCGGTGGTGGTACCAGCTTTGTGCTGCTGCTTTGCTTTCTGCTACAGCCTACACTGGCTTTCCAGAAAGCCCTGGTTCAGGTTACTGCTTGGAATGCGAGTACAGGGAAGAGGTAGGGGAGCAGTGGTTGATTAGGCAGGTTGCCCTTCCCTTCCCTTACCCCCTCTTCATGCTCATCCACTTCCCCTTAACCCCTCTACGTAGAAGGGGACTTAGAGGTGGTGCTGCACCCTATTTTGTTTGGGCAGGGTCTGGATGGCTGGAGAATGGTTGGAAATGAAAACCCTGGGGCTGGTGTTTGATCTCACCGCCTCTGTCTGCCTGAGAAGCGGAATAGAGCTTTGTGATTGGTTTGGTCTGGGGATCCCGCCACAACAGCCATGATCCCTGTGGCATCCAAGGTTTTCATGACAATAATCTCAGAGTCTGCCTCATCCCCCTTCCTCCTCAGGACCCTCTGTGCCAGCTCCCCTGACCCTGGGAGGAAAAATTCCACTTGCCCACCCAGGAGAGGGAGGGGTAGGCAAGTGAGGCTGCAAAGAGAATCTCCGCAGACACAAATGCCAGAGGAGGGCAGATGCAGCTCCTGCCTGGAAGAGGAGGGAGGAGCAGAGGTCTTGGGGGCTATAGGGAGCCAGGCAGGGATGCAGGCGATGGCTGGAAAGCAAGGATCTTTCTCTAGAGTGAAAGCAAGCTAGGGCCACCTGTCTGGGCTTTGCAGCCCTGAGGCCAGCTCAGAAAGGGCCTTCCCCCAGCCCAGGTTTCAGGGGGGTCCCTCATATAGCTCAACTAGTCCTGCTAGACTGAGTTCTCAGCTGTGTGCAGTAGGGGAGGTACCCAACCACTTACCAAGTTGCAGGGTGTATGGGGAGGCTGATTGGGCTGGACAGAGATAGGAAAGGGGAACAGATAAGGGAGACAGGAAGAAGAGGAGGTGATGAGGGAGTGGGGCCCTCTTTCTGAGCATTCTGGCATCCCTGGGGCCTTGTCACCTGCTCTGTTCTTCCCCTTGGAGAATCCCAGGGGCTGTCCTCTTCAGCGAGTTTGTTTTCTGTTCAGCTTGCTGCCAAGCAGGACCCGTCTGAGTGAGCCTGGGTGTGCCCACTGCTGTCCAGGATGCCCTTCTGACATGGAATTTCATTAGCTCAAGCATTCCCATTGAGGTCTGAAGTGTGGGACAGAGCAGAGTTCATTCTTCCATTTGCCAGGGCAGAGGCCGGGATTTGGACACATCGGGTTTCCTGCCAGAGACACTTACCCAGTAAGCAAAGGCGGCCAAACACCCCAACTCCCCACCTCCTGATTTAGTACAGATGGGAACAGCTGCATGGAGCTCTGGCTGGCACGGGTGCCCAAACAGGACTTGCTTACTGCTGAGGCACACAAGCAAGGGGCAGGCCCCAGCTGCTCTTGGGACATGCAAGTGAGAATTCATGTTCATAAAAATGAATGGTTCCTTGCTCTTTATTGAGCCAATCCCATGCAGTGTGCTTGGCTGGGGACACTTGACCTTCTGATCCTCCCAGGACATTTCAGACAGGCCAGTACTGCTACTGAGCAGTGAGGCTTGCCTGAGCGCCCATGGCTGTGGAGTGGCGGGGTTCTGACTCCTAGCTGGGCTGTCCGACTCTCAGCCCTTTGCTCATGGAGTGACCACTGTCTGCTCTTCCTGCTGAATGTGGCTGTTTTTTGGCTGGGAAGGAGGTGGGTATCTTATTCTGCTCTAGGATGTGTCCTGAGGTTTTGTACCTCTTGGGCATAACATCAGAAACCCCAGGAGCAGATGCAGACATCAGAAGAGACACTGAGCTCAGTGACTCTTCAAGGCCTTGAGGGCACGGTGCCCTGCAGGGGAGCCAGGCTCCCTGTCCTTCGTATTGTCCTTCGCCTTGCAGCCCTGATGACCTGGGCATGAGTGTACCTCTTCCCTCCCTTCCAGCTGCTGCCTCCATGGAGGGGCCTACAGCAGTGCAGGGTACTGAGCCTGTCTGTGATATCAAACAAGGAAGGTAAATAAGGGCAGGGGAGCAGCCCTGAGGTGGCTACACATGCAGTGGCCCTGTCACTTGAGCAGGGTGTTGTGCCAGGAGCCCAACAGACTCATGCAAGGTGCACTGAGCTCATTCAGAGGGCCTGTTGCCTAGCTACGGGCCCGGCCGAGCGCTGCTCCCACATCAGGCAGCCTCCCAGGCTGACTGGCCGTGCACCCTTGCTCCCTCTGCTATGGCCCAGCCTTGGGCAGGTGCCTCCGTGGTCCTTGGTCTAAGGCCTCTTTCCACCTACCCACTGTCTGCTGCATGGGACAGGCTGAGGGACAGCAGGAGCTGGCAGCACATGCAGCTCTAGGATGCTCCTTTCCTGAGATCAGATAATGGGAAAGCCTGATGAATGCCTGCCAGGACATAATCCCACTCCTCCACCCCGGCCTCCCTGGCACCCTAATGAGAATTAGGTCCCCTTTCCACCAGCAGAAATGCTTCCTGGATGGGTTTTCCCACAGTTTTGTTCCCAAGGTGACCTCCAGATCTTTCCTTCCATTCCCCGCCCCCCACATCCATTGGGAGTGCAACCCGAGCTGGGTTTTCACCTTGATTTGGCACCTGCCATGTATTGGAGGCTCAGCCTCTGCCTTCTTCCACCAGCTGCTCAATCCACCGAGAAGGAAACTGAGGCTTACTAGGGGTAGAGCCAACATCCAGGCTCACCTCTCATGAGCCTGAGACTGGCTCCCACTGCTGTCTCTGGCTTCTGGGGGGTGGGGGCTTGTATGTGGCCCCTTGATGGACAGCTTCCTCCTGTGCCCACCTCTTAACCCTTCCCTTGCCTCTCCTCACTGTAGAATGCCTGGAGTCTGACCTTTCCCACTAACCTTCCTAGGAAGGAAAAAGAGAGATGCAGGTTTCTCAGTTGGTAGAGATGGAATCACAGCTTTCTAGGAAAGAAATGCAGAGCTCTAGTCCCGCCTGCTCAAGGCCCCTGGCTTCTTTGGTCCAGGCACTGTCTGGCGACTAGCCAGGTGGTGGTCCCCATTGGCTCTGGAGTCAGGGTAGGGGCTTGCTGACCCAGGGCTTCTGAACTAGAGTTAGCCAGGAATCTGAGCTATGCCCAGCCTCTGTCAGCCTCTCAGGAGGGCAGTGTCAGCCTGATGCAGAGTGGTGTTGGGGCATGTCCTTCTCAGGGAACCTCTTTCTTGGGCACCCTGGAAAGACCCTGCCCTCAGGCAACCTCCCAGGTTTTTTTGTTTTTCCTGCATTTCTTTTTTTCCCTCTCCTGTTGTGAGCAGATCAGCATTTGTGTCTGAGCATCTTGTCTCTGGATGATGAGGTGTTTGTGTTTATCACCATGTGGGGAGGGGTGTGGGGGGGCGGGGGGGAGGAAGACACTTGGTCTATTTTGGAGACTGGGGGAAAGAGAAGGCAGCAGCAGTCAAGAGCCTGCACCTCCACCCATGGACAGTCTTGTATATGCTGGGAGCAGGAACATGTTCAGGCAGTACCAGCAGGCTGCATGGCTCCTGGCCAGGCCTCAGGTTGTCTACAGGCGTGGAGTGGTCCCCCCAGCCCCTGGAGGTGGGGCAGGGGGGGCACATCAGGAAGTGAGCTTGGTCCATCCTGGACAGCCACGGAAGTACACCCTTGTTGCCTCAGTCTGTGGACCTGATGATCCTTCATCACTGTGCCTCTGCCCCAGCTCCCAGGACTAGGAGAGGGAGCAGACATTCAACAAACAGAGCACATCCTGCATGCTAGAGTCAGAAGTGGCCCCTGCTCCTGAAGAGAGCCAGGTTAGGGCATTGTGCTTGGCAGATAAAGGAAATTAGATGACAAGAGGCAGTAGCGTTAATACAGAGTGGATCCCGAGAGGTACCATGATAGAGAGAAAACATACAGTTTAATGGGAGGTGAAGAGGAGAGGGCCATGACCTTCACCAGTATGCACAAGGCAGCCCCAGTGAGGCTTGGAACTTGAGCTAGGTGGGATAATGACTTGGCTCTAATGGCTGATTTTTAGGAGGAGTTAGGCTAACAATTAATATATGAATGAATACAATTTCCATGTGGGTAGCGTTAAGCCCTGTAGAATGAGGGGAAAAGGAGAAATTCCTGGTCAGGAGGTCAGGCTGAAAAGAACCAGGACAGCATGGGTTGCTGAGGGATTCCATTTGCTGGGATAGTGGGTCCTTGGGCAGTGATTTGGGCTGGCTGCATCCCTCCCATGGATAAGCTGCCACAGCTTTGGGCAGCCCAGCAGCCCTGAGAAGGCCCCAAGGGCCAGCTACCCAGAGGGTGAACAGGTGAAGGGGCTGGCCCTCGGCCCTGGGGCCAGAGAGTTCTGGCTGAGGGTGTGAGGGCCAGGTGCTGTTGCTCCTGGGCAACCTGGGGAGGAGAGCATCTGGGTTTTGGTGCAGCTCCTTGTACTTTAGCGCAGTTAGGCTCTGGGTTGTCTTCCTTGGCTTGCTGCCTCCTCTCCTGCCTGTTGTTCCCCCCCAGCCAGGGGCTACCCCACTGCCTATGCAGCCCCTTTGAGGAGCTGGAGTCTCCCTACTCCCCCTCCCACCAAGCCTCAACCCCTCACCCTACCCCCACAGATCTTCCTCTGCAAGTGTCTCTGGCTGGCTGTGTTCTCGATTCTCCCTTCTCCTACACTCCATCCTTAATATAGGTTTTGGGGAATGAGTCTCCTTCTGTTTATCGTCCATCTGTCTCCCTGGCCTGCCTTCCTCGGGCTCCCCTCCCCTGCCCCCGCTGATTGTAGTCAGTTCCCCGTGATTGGTGTCTGTCACCGATCCCCTGGACTCAGCCTGTGCCACATGCCCAGAATGTGCTAGGCTGTGTGCTTAGTTGTACAAGCAGCATGTTTTCCCATCCTCCGAGCAACCCTGAGAAGGAGACACACCTCTTGGAGAGAGATCTCAATTCTGCTGGCTCACTGCAATCTATCACAGCTGGAGCTGGGCCCTGCTGAAACCAGCAGCCCAGAATTTAATCTGAGTCTGCCACTTGGGGGCAGGGACCCAACTAGTTGAGCCATCACCTGGTGCCTCCCAGGGTGCATATTAGCAGGCAACTGGAATCAGGGGTGGGGGAAGAGGCTAATCCTCTACCCTGTGGCACCAACATTCTATATGGGTGCTGATTTGTGTCCCGGCAGCTCCGTTTCCCATCAAGCTCCCTGCCTGTGGCCTGGGAAAGCAGTTGAGGATGGCCCAAAGCCTTGGGACCCTGCACTGCTTGTGAGACCTAGAAGGAGCTCCTGCTTCCCAGCTTTGGATCAGCTCAGCCTGGGCCATTGTAGCTATTTGGAGAGCGAACCAGCAGATAAAAGACCACTCATTCTTTCTCTGTAAAATAGGCCTTTCAAATAAAAACAAATAATCTTTTAAAAATAGACATGGAGCCAGGACTTGAACCCAAGGCACCCAAGGAGCATTGAACTGCTTGGCCATTCAGTCCAATATTCCCAGTTCACTCACCTAACACCATGTCTCAGGGCTTTTGCTTGACCTATTCTTACCCCCCCGCCCCAGACTCTTCTGAGTCTTCTGTGACTTACTCCTTTAGGGCACTGCTTAAATGTCCCCTTGTCATTGTGATCTCACCTAACCACTCTGTTTGGAATATCTTCATGACTTTTTAAAATGGAAAGTCAGATTTACAGAGAGAAGAAGAGCCAGAGAGAAAGATCTTCCATCCACTGGTTCACTCCCCAAGTGTCTGCAACAGCCAGAGATGAGCTGATCCAGAGCCAGGAGCCAGGAGCTTCCTCTAGGTCTTTGACATGGGTTCAGAGTCCTAAGGCTTTGGGCCATCCACTACTGCTTTCCCAGGCTACAAGCAGGGAGTTGGATGGGAAGTGGAGCAGCTGGGATATGAACCGGTACCCCTATGGTATCCCAGCGCATGCAAGGCGAGGACTTTAGTCACTAGGCTACCACGCTGGGCCCAGTTCCATGACTCTTAAAGTCCTTATTTCCCAACCCTCACATCGTTTGACATGCCGTTCTGTATGCACTAGAATTTAAGGTGCAAGGTGCAGAGCTGTTATCTGTGGTGTTTGTTCCTCTTACCCAGCACTATATCTGGCACATAGTAGGCACTCAGTTTTCTGCTTCATAGCTGGAGACCCTAAGGCCCAGAGAGGCTTAAACAACTCCCCAGGGCAGTTTGTAGCAGAAGTGTATGTGACACCCTAGGACAGGGCTGGTCATGAAGGCACCTGCACTTTTGGAGGACACACCCCTCTGACATGTGTTAGTGCCTGGAAAGCAGGACACAGAGAAGAGATTGAGATATTGGCTCTGATGCAGTTGCATGCAGAGCCTCCCCACCAAACACTTTCTGTGCATCACACAGAAGCTCATCCATGACTGAAGTGCCCCTGTGTGCTAGTGGGAGGTGCCAGTGTTGACCACTTGGTGGATTGAGCAAATAGCCTGGAAGTGCTCCTCTCTTCCAGCCTGGTTTGAGTGACACGGCCAGGAGGAGGACCCAGGCAGTCAGACGGGGCTGAGGTATCTTGCCCAGGCTCCTCTTCTGCCCTGAGGGGCCATGATGCACATGGCCACTTGCTCTGCAGCATAGTTGGGTGGGGTGCTAGACAGGGTGGTATTGCTGCAGGCCCCTCTTATCTGGGCTCTGGTGTGTCCTAGGACACTCCCAGTCAAGGGAGCTGAGAAGGCCAGCAGCCAGTGTCCCTGCCCATATGCACGGTAAGCATGGTAAGCATCTAGCAACAGTTCCATCTGGGGAATAACTTCCGGGGGAGTGGGGAGGAGTAACTTGGACCCTGGAAAGGGATCTAGAACCTTGGGATCCTTTGATTCTACCCTCGGTGGGCACCCACTCTGTCCCTGCAGGGACCGAGGGGTCCCTGGGCCTATGTGGCACCTGTTGCCCAGCCATGGAGAGACCTGAGTTGCCATCGGTTGGCCAGTAGGACTTCCTTACTTGTTCCAACGGGGACAAGCACTGAGTCAAGCTGGCCCAGGTTGGATCCTGAGGATGTAGATGCCCTCACTTGGGTTTCTGTTCCCCAGAAAAGCAAGTCCAGGAGGCCACCCTTTAGCTACCCTCATCCTCTATGAGGGTGCATGTGTGGGATGCAAGTTGGTACCTGGGATGATTTCAGTGTTTTGTGGTTGGGGGAGGGGAGGGTTCTGTGACAGTGAGGCAGGAGGCAGGCTCCTTGGGTCCACAGTCAGAGGGTAGCTGGCACCACATTATCCCCTCCCCCTCTGCGCCCTGTGCTCAGCCCCTTGGCAACTCTTCCTGGACTTGTTTTTCCGAGTCACTAATTAACCTCGTGCTTGGGCTCCCAGATGAACCAGCTCTCCTGGCTAGCTTTTCCCTGGAGAGTGAGCGAGCAACCAACTGTTTGGCTTGCCATGCTTCCTGGCAGAACTGGGATATGCTGTTCTCACCCCTCAGCCCCAACTACCCCTCTGCTGCTGGGATCCCCCCAAAAGGTGCTTTTACCAGTTCTTCTCTGGGGATGGCCATGGAAGGTGAGCCCACCAGCTGGAGTCATTTGCCTCAAGATACCCACATGGCCTGAGTTGTTGTAGCAGCCCATTTTCCAGGGGAGGAAAGTTGAGGCCTGACAAGGAACTGGAAATGTACCTGCATGGGAAGAAGCAGGTGGGAGAAGAAGCAAGCAAAGTTGTAAAACAGGGAACCTGTGGCTGTGGTCCAACCTCCATCCCAGCCTTCTTCCTGCTGCTTTTCTGACCAATCTGTCCAAGTCCACAGCAAATGATGGGGAATCTGTCCTAAGTCCCAGGTACACATCTCCAAGAGTAAAACAGCAGGCATTTGGGGGCTGACCAGAAAGAAGATCCAGTGTTTGGGTGGGGACAACTTCCCTCCCTGGGCCTGTGAATTGACCTACTTGAAAGTCACGGAGCCTCTCAGTGCCAGCCAGGGTGATCCCTGACAAATGTTCATGCCCCAAGTTCACTCATCAGACCTGATCCTGCCCCAGGTGCCCCAGAAGGACTGGGGCTCAGTGTCCTTGCTCTACTGGCCTTTGGCAGCACTGAGGGCAAGGTGTGCCCTCCCCTCCCAGGGCAAAGACCATGGCAGGTAGCAGTTGGGATGGGGCAGATGGAAGAATTGTCAAATGACCGTGGGGCCACAGATGGCACTCACCCCTGGTTGAGGTTCAGCCTTCTGCTCAGGGAGAGAGCCCAGCCCTACCCACCAAGGCAGAGCAAGTGGCAGCAGGGGTGGGAAACGGGACCCCAGGGACAGCATGGTGCTGGTGGTGACTGGCATGGCATGAATAGCAGATGAAGGCTCCTTAATTGGTGTTATTACACACGCACTTCATCTCCATTCATAATGCTTGGACACTTCAGCCCAGCGTTCCTTGGCACGCGCTGCTGTCATCATTCTAGCAGAGAGCCTGGCAGCTGTCGGGATCTACTATTCCCTGCCACCCTCGGGTGCTCATAGGTGTGGGGCTGGCTCTCTGGAGCCCAGTGGCCCAGGCAACACTGGTGAGTGGGAGGAGTGGCACTGGCTCTTCTGGGAGGCCCACCCTGTCTTTCTCTGTTGATGTTTAGCACCTTCCTTTTTGGAGTTATTCCTTACTGCTGTCATGGCAGTCAGTGGGGACATCCTGCTGGCAAAGGCAGGAGACCTTTAGCCTGGGGAGGTCATGGTCAGAGCTATATCTGAGAAGTTCATCAGGTACCAAGAGGCCTGGGTGCCTTATAGCCCCCAACTCAGAGCACCTCTTAAATGAGCAGATCCCAGACCTCAGTGTGTATCAGAATTACCTGGAGGCTTTGTTCAAACAAGGTGGGGGAAAGGGCTGAGCCATGCATTTCTAGCCAGTTGCCAAGGGAGCAGAGGTTTGTGGTCCAGGACCACCTCCCCCAGAACTCATTTCTCCAGTTGGGGTCAGACAGCATCACCTGAGAGCTTGTGAGAGTCCTGGATGGACTGTCCCATTGGAGTCACCTGGGAGCAAGGTTCCCAGGTGGTTTGTCTGCTCAGGGCCCAAAGTATGACCTATGGGGAAGAGATGGGCTGAGCAAGGTCAAGCAAGCAGCAGGTGTCCTCTGACCAGTTGCCTGTCACAGGGCAGCGTGACAAAAGCTGGGAAATGTTGACTGGAAGATGGAGAAGGGCTGTCTGAGGAGGGGGTTCCACCCCTCATTCTCTCTCCATCCCATGCCTCACGCCCTAAGAAACTGCCTGCCCTCCTCTCTTCCACTCCCCTTCACCCCACTATGTCCTCGACATGTGCCCGGGCACTCCTGTCAGCAAAGCTGCCCCCTTAACTTTCCTCCTGCCCCCTCGCAGGTGGTGGCCTTCGCCTCCCTCTTCTTCATCCTGGTGTCCATCACCACCTTCTGCTTGGAGACTCACGAGGCCTTCAACATAGACCGCAACGTGACTGAGATCCACCGGGTGGGCAATATCACCAGTGTGCGCTTCCGCCGCGAGGTGGAGACCGAGCCCATCCTGACCTACATAGAGGGTGTGTGTGTGCTGTGGTTCACGCTGGAGTTCCTGGTGCGCATCGTGTGCTGCCCTGACACGCTGGACTTTGTCAAGAACCTGCTCAACATCATTGACTTCGTGGCCATCCTGCCCTTCTACCTGGAGGTGGGGCTGAGCGGCCTCTCATCCAAGGCTGCTCGCGATGTGCTGGGCTTCCTACGCGTCGTACGCTTCGTGCGTATTTTACGTATCTTCAAGCTCACCCGCCACTTTGTGGGCCTGCGCGTGCTGGGTCACACGCTGCGCGCCAGCACCAATGAGTTTCTGCTGCTCATCATCTTCCTGGCTCTGGGCGTGCTCATCTTCGCCACCATGATCTACTACGCCGAGCGCATTGGCGCTAGGCCCTCCGACCCACGGGGCAACGACCACACCGACTTCAAAAACATCCCCATCGGCTTCTGGTGGGCTGTGGTCACCATGACAACGCTGGGCTACGGGGACATGTACCCCAAGACATGGTCGGGCATGCTGGTGGGGGCGCTGTGTGCGCTGGCCGGTGTGCTTACCATTGCCATGCCCGTACCTGTCATTGTCAACAACTTCGGCATGTACTACTCCCTGGCCATGGCCAAGCAGAAGCTGCCTAAGAAACGGAAGAAGCATGTGCCCCGGCCAGCCCAGCTCGAGTCACCTGTCTACTGCAAATCGGAGGAGACCTCACCACGGGACAGCACCTACAGCGATGCCAGCCCCCCTGCCCGGGAAGAGGGCATGGTGGAGAGGAAGCGGGCAGGTGAGACTCCTTTCCCCCCACTGTAATGGGGTGGGAGGTGGAAGATGGGGGATAGGAAGGGGAGTTCTTAGCAATCCCCGGTCCCTTGGGATCTGGGGCTGGGAGAGCAGGCTATATGATGCTGTCTCCCCACAAGTAGATGTGCCTTCCTCGTTGCATAGCACAAGGCCACATTTCTCCACCCTCTGGTTTTCTAACAGCTTCAGGGTCTGTGGCATGAAGATCCTACCTCAGGCTGTGCCCCGAGTGGGCATGGGGCTGTGTGTTAGAAGCCCCGCTGTCCAGGCTTGTCTGGGCCACTGGGCATTGGGCCCTGTGTGCTGAGGCCAGTCACTTGCCCTCTCTGGGCATGGATTCCTCTCCTTATAAAATAGGAGCGAGATGTTAGAACACTGCCCACAAGACTTTGATGAGGCCTAAATGGATGTCAGCTGTGACAGTGCTGTGAGCAGCTGAAAGTGAGTTAAGGATGTCAGGCACTGCTGCCATTAGCCAGAGAGCAGGACAGCTGTTCCTCCAAGGTGCATCAATGCATGAATCACTTCTCTCTAAATGTTCGAGTCTGGAGTCTCTTGGCCTAATACATATGAAAACATACAGCAGTGGGATGCTGCCTTCTGTTCAGCTCTGGTTCCATGGAGTCCAGGGCTAAGGGTTGGATAGTGTAGAAGGGAATCGAGGAGGGAGTGGCCCAGACAATGGTGGGAACTGGCGGGGTCGGGGAGGGTTCCGGGAATGGGAGAGGTAGAGGAGCTGGTGTCTGTATCTTGCCCATCCAAATCCAGTCCTTCAAGGATGAGACAGGCTAGTTCATGGAAGCTTGCCTGCACCTGAGTCAGGAGAAAAGCAACAATGTGGAGTTGGGTTGGGGATCGGAAAAGGCACCCAGACTATAAAGTGGGGGCTGGGCTCCTGAGGAAGGTATATGGAAGTCCCTGGTGTGAGCACGTGTTGGATGCCAGGCCTTCAGGAAACTGGGCTGGAGACTGGGGGACTGAGGTTACAGCTCCTGACCAAGCTCTGAGGCAAGGTGGCCTAGTTCTCAAGGGGAGGTGCCTGACCCGGGACACACCTGAGGCCTCTTGACATGTGCTCGTCATGCCTGCTGGGGTCATTCTGGGATTGTGTACCTATGGGGCTTTCCACTTCGCCCCCCACTGAAGTAACACCCCCTTCCTCACCTTGGATATAAATATTCCAGTGAGGATGAGCTGTTCTCCAAAGCTTGGTGCCCAGGGTTAGAGAGGATCCTAACATGTGAGTGTGGAAGTTCTTTGATGGGTTCCTCACTGTATGCTTGACTCTGACTCTCTCAGACAAACCCTTGGCTGATAGCTCAGTCATTCTAAGCATGGGTTTGGCTGATGCCAGGGCCTCTGTCTTTAATCCAAGCAGTCTCTGCCCCTCTGAACCCGAGAGCCCAGCTTCTCCACCTGCTGCCGCCTCATGGTGGCAGGCTGAATTGGAGCTTGTGCCACACTGTGTCCCCAAGTCCAGACAGGGAACTTTGGGAGCTGAGTACCCCCTTGACAGCAGAGACCCTGTGGGACCCACTCAACCCAGCAAGCCAGCCATTCTCTGTGGGAATTGAAGACACATCCAGTGTGAACCTGAGCCACACCCTAGGAGGAGGCTGTGTCTGTCACCTGTTTGAGGCTGATCTCATGGGCAGGCAGATGGGGGCGGGGGGTTCCCAGCTGCAGGGGAGTGTCAACCATTGCTACACTCTTCTGAGGATACCCTAGGCTGAAAAAACTATTTTTAAAAAAACATATTCTTTTAAGATTTATTCATTTATTTGAAAGGCAGAGTAACATAGAGAGAGGGTGGAGGGTGATTTCCATCTGCTGGTTTACTCCCCAAGTGGTTGCAAGAGCCAGGCTGGATGAAACCAGAAGCTTCATCTAAGTCTCCCACATGAGTACAGGGACCCAAGCACATGGACCATCCTGTGCTGCTTTCCCAAGAGCATTAACAGGGAGCTGAATGCAAAGTGGAGCAACCTATACCACAACACCTGCCCCAGGAAGCTACCTTCAAAGCCAGCACAGCATCCTCTGGTGACACTCTCCAACATCAGGTTGGACAAGAGGCCCGTGGGGGTCTCTGGAGCCTGAGAGAGCCAAGGAGTTCCACAAGGAAGACGCAGGCCATGGCTCAGCAGCTTCCTCTTTGTCTGCCCCCTTAGACTCGAAGCAGAATGGCGATGCCAGTGCAGTGCTGTCAGATGAGGAGGGAGCTGGCCTCACTCAGCCCCTGGCCTCTGCCCCAACCCCCGAGGAACGTCGAGCCCTGCGCCGCTCAGGCACCAGAGACAGGAACAAGAAGGCAGCGGCTTGCTTCCTGCTCAGCGCCGGGGACTATGCCTGTGCCGATGGCAGTGTCCGCAAAGGTAGGGCTCCCCAGGCTGGACAGGTAGGGAGCCCCCACAAAGCAGAGTCTCCCCAGTCCTCCCCATGTAGCTTCAGCTCCCCACCTCCCCAGCCTGTGGCCTCCTTCTCCTCTACCTTGGATGTGCCCCCACTTTTACAATTGGTACCTTCAGCTCCCAGTGCTCAGATGAGAAAGGTCTTGTGTAGCCCTACAAGGGTGCACCAAGCTCTCCCCTAGGTACCTGCAGGGAAGAACTACAAGGTTTGAGGGGGCATGTGACCCTGGGTCCCCACTGCCACCCCATCTGATTTGATTACCTCCTTTGTTTCTGGTTCCTGCTATTTCTTGCAACCCTCCTGTAAACACAGCTAGGGCTTGCTCAGGTAAGAAATCCAGGAGATGCCCACCAGCTTGAGGAGTCAGGTGTAAGGGCCTTGGAGAGCCCAACACGGACCCTCTTGTCCCTCCCATCCTGTGCAGGTCCTGTGGCTGAGGGTGGGCTGACCTGGATCTGTGGACAGCCTGCATGTGACTGCCCTCTGGGATAGAGCTGGAAGTAGAGGGGGGCCAGGAGGGCAGCGGGAGTGGGTCCTCTCTGGGCAGTGTTGGGCAGGATTTAGCATAGTTGAAGGGAGCAGCTGAGTGGTGGCTGATCAGGGAGGCTGAGCTTCTACCACCATGCCCCAGGCCTGCCTCTGTGCGTGGCACGAGTGGAACTTGGTGCTAGAGATTCCTGGCCTGGAAGCGGGGATGAGAAATGATGTGAAATGGGAGAGCTGGTGGTGAGAACCTGGTATCTCAAGACTGGCTTTTCCTTCTGTCTGGTGCAGATCACCTGTTGTCTTTCTTGCCCTGTGACCTACCCACCCTAAATTGTCTGCCCATTAGGGCAAACCTCCACAACAAAGCTTTGTCTGGGGGTCTATAGTCCTTAGACCCCAGACCCAGACTGGGTTGAGTGAGACAGGGGTAGTGGCTGGCACAGGGGTAGCCTGTGGTACCTCTGTTCTCATAAATAGCACTCTGGCTGCCTAGGCCAGACAGGCCCCCAGGGCCTACCCAGACCATTCCTGACCCTCAGCACCCCCTGAGAAGTGTTTTCCAACTTTGCTGTATCTGTGTCCTATTGAATGGCACCTGCAGGAAGAAGGCCCAGAGAGTCCCAGCCAAGTGCTTACAGAGGGTGGGCACACAGATCATAGCACCCCCCTGCCACCTCCATGCTCTAGTCCTCAGGCCTTGGATGTGTCCCTCTCTCCTCCTCCCACCCCAAACGTGCAGTAGCTCCATCACATCTGGCCTGCTCAGCAGACAGCCCCAAATGTGGAGTGTTGGAGATCCCATCTCTGTGTAGGACTCAAGTAAACAGATGCATGCCCCTGTTTCCTGCACTGTGATGTGAAGGGCTTGGTACAATTAGAGACACAAGTCAGGGGGACCCTAGGTTGCTGGGAGCAGGCTGTACCTGGGCAAGGATGGCACGTGCTTGTCCTGGAGCCAGGGGCCTGTATCTCACCCCCTGGCTCTTTGGGGTGCCTGTGGGGCCTGGCTGCTCTATTTTCAAGATGCCTCCACACTGCCTCTTGGCAACAAGCATGCAGCTCAGCCAATTAGAGTGACCTTCGAAAGGGAACAGGTGGGTTGCTGGGAAACAGGCCCTGCTGAGCAAGCACGGCCATGAACAGCGCCAAACTCCCAGTGCGCATTCGATAACTTTCCCTATGTTATCCCAGGCTGCACTTCTTTGCAGCCAGGCTACCTGTGGGAGCAGGGAGGGAGTGGACCTGGACTTCCTCCTGCTACCAGCACAGAGCCCTGGGGCTGCTCATGTGGCCTAGCACCAGCATCCTTGGAGGAAGGTGGCAGGTGCTAATTTGGTGTTGAAGGCTGGGAGGTGTGTGTGTGGCTGGCTGGGCTATGGAGAAGGAGGAATAGCACAGGAAACAGGTGTGTCAACTATGGGCTCTGGAGTCTTCTTAGAAGCCCAGGTGACTCAGAGGCTAGAGAGTGTCAGGAAGCCTCTTCCTGGAGCCTGATTCCTCCACTCCAGCCCAAGGCCACCTGCTCTGCAGGGTTCCGAGGAGCTATCAGATGGGGAGCTGCATCCCCTGACCCTTGTACCTTTTCTCCACCAAGGATGTGCCAAGTCCCGGAGTCTAAACAACATAGCCGGAACGGCTGGAAGCAGTCTGGGGCTGTCTCCACTGGCATCGCGGTACAGCTCACCCTACTCTCCGAGAAAGCACTTGCTCTCCCATCCCTTTCCCCCCATCACCAGCCCATCACCTAGGCACTCTGCCCCTTAGTGACACCTGGACTCTGTTGGCACCTGCATGCACCTGAAAGACACACTCACATTCCCTCTGCCCTTGACCCTCCTGGGGCCCTCAGGGAAGCACGGGAGGCCTCCTACCAGGACAGAAAGATTTGGCCCAAGTGTCTTGTCCACAGCACCCAGTTCTCTAGAATGAGCATTCAGGGGGCAGATTTTTCCCAGGGCTGTTCCCCTATGTTGCACCCTGGATGAGCTCTTCTGAGCCACAGGAACCAGCACATCTGGAACCCTGCCTCCCTCTCAGGGTCCCATAGGCCAGCCTCCACAGCCAGGCCTGACTGGAGAAGGCCCACAATGCACTCGGACTGCTTAGTCTCACTGGAGAATCATGCCTGTGTTCATATTTGTCATCACGGCAACTACATCATCCTGCTTTGTGGCCTTAAAATCCAGAAACCAGACAGCCCATCTGTCTGTCTGTCTGTCCATCCCATTCAGGTGGTGAGCAGGCTGTGGTGTGGGGCGTGGCTGCTGGCACAAAGGAGGCTGGACTCCTAGCAGGCAATGTGCCCATGGGCAGTGGCGCTGCAGAAGAGGCCTGAGGTTTTCCAGCTTGCGCCTGCAGCGCATGTGGGGCTTCCTAGAAGGTGGAGGAACCTCAGACTTGGCACAGCTTGGGGATGGCTGCCTAGGCATAGGGTGACCCTCATCTCCTGGGAGGCCTCTCCCTGCCTGGATTCAGCGGGCGACTGCCCACAGCGGTACCCGGCATCCCATCTGCACTCTGAGCTGCGGGAGCTGCGGTTTCTCTCGCACTGCTTCCTCTGCTTCCGCGACAATTTTTCCTCCCTCTCTAGCTTCCCTCCAACTCCCAGCCTTGCTTCTGAGTCACCTGCCGCTCCCACCCAGCCTCTGTGCTGTGTTTTCCTGCCAGAACCGGAGACTCATCTAATTTCTATAATTAAGTGTATTCATTTACCTAACGAGCCCAGGAGCACAACATGTTGGTGAGTCATGGGCGAGAGGGGTGCACCTTGAGCAGGGGCAGCTGAGGGGAAGTGCTGCTGCACCTGCTCTTGCCACCACTCCCAAGGAGCCTCACCTGCCAGCCGGCCCCTCCCCCAGCAGGTCCTCATCAATCCAGTAGCTGGCTGGGCCCTGGGACCAGGGAGCAACTAAGAACACTTTGGCCAAAACATTTCCTGTTTCACCTGATGGGAATTAGACCTGACATCAGGGCCATGCGCCTGGCCATTTTTAGAGTCAGATTATGCAACTTGGTCAAGGGAGTTATTGAGTGAGGTACCTGCATGCTCCTTCCAGGGTGGGCACAGATAGGCATGGCCAGGCAGTCTGCGGGTACTCAGCCGGAGGCCAGGCAGTAAGAAGCCAGGGGCATCCTCATCTTTGGCAGACATGGTAGTGTTCCATCTGGAAAACTGTTCACAGTGGGTACCAGGGTGCCCCAATCCTGCCATAATTGATGCTGCCTGCCTAGGGCTTGCCCCAAGGAGGACATGACTCCTGAGAGCTGAGAAGAGAATTTCCTTCTGGAGCATTCTTGTGACAGTCCCTCAATAGGACACAAACCTCGTTGGGTGTTATGTTGCAGGTGCCAGGCAGCCCCTCCTCCCACAGCTAAGCAAGCATGTGAGCAGGGCTTCCTGGCACCCAGGGCTGGGGTCTGATGGGGACATGAGGTACCAGGTGTGTAGCTGGGCGTGGGTGCCATAGTGTTTCTCCTCTGACTTGGCGCTCTGGTTCAGGGAACCAAGCTGGCTATTTCTGTGGCAGCCCTCGAGTTGTCAGGAGCCCAAGTTTCCACGGCACCCACCGCCTCCTTCCCGCTCTTGCCTCCCACGGGGATGGGCATGCTCACGGCACCCCTGTGGTGGGCACAGATGTCCCTGGGCGACATAATGCAGCAGTGCCAGGCTGGAGGCCCTCGTGCCTGGAGGGGAGCTGGGCCCCCTACGTTCCCCTCCTGGCTCTGGAAGGCAGACAGAACCCAACTGATGGGAAGATTGAGGGGGTCTTCCATCTGCCAGCTTCCTCTCAGACGCTTCTCAGAGCCCTGAGGAAGGGCAGCATGAGGCCTAACATGCACACCGGCCCTGGGAGAGCGGGTGCTGCCTGCCCAGGCCCAGGTCCTGCACTATATCTTAAGCCTCTCTCTCCTCCCTACAGTCTGAGGGCACATCTTGCTTTCCCTTACCTTGGTCCTTGTAACTGCCTCCTCTGCTTTGATTTCGAGATGCTTTCCCTGCAGCTGGGGCTCAGCCACTTTCCTTAAGAGCAGGCAAGCAGTCAGTGGGGAGATTTGACACTTGCCTTCTAGCCTCGCCTGTCCGGGGGTTCCTGCCCATGCTGGAGGCTGCTTCCCAGCCTCCAAGGCTTCAGACAGGAAGAGCTGTGAAGGAGGACCTGAAAATGGTGACTCTCCCAGAGACAGGGCACAAGAGTCTCCCATTTCCTCAGATGCCCAGAAGGCTCCTGGGGTGAAGGGCAGTGCTTAAGGAGGTAGCCGGGGCCTTCAAGGAGGTAGACACAGCACTGCTCCAAGGTGGGAGCGCCCTGTCCCTTGGAAAGCTGTGCAGTCCTTGGTGTGAAGAGAAGCTGCTGTATTGTCCAGATGCCAGATCTGATTAACAAGAGGCTGTGCCCTGGATTCCAAATCTGATCACCTCAGGGTTTGTCTCAGCACTGACTCGGAGGGAAGCTGAAACCCTACTGGACTGTTGTCCTAGCTGTGCAGCTGGGACTCAGCAGCCACACTGCCTGCCTTACCTGTGTGGCGTCCCAGGAAGTAGCAGAAGGGGAGGCCCAGGCCAAGGCTCGGTTGCTGCTGAGGGCTTTCCGAGGGATGTTCTGAGTCAGGTGCTATTGTTGGCCCTCTCTCCCTAGTCAGGCCTCCCTGAGCTTGGCATGTGCCTGATGCTACTCACTCTCCAGCTCCTGGGAATATTCCTGTCTAGGTGGAGATGGCACCACACCTTGGGTGCTTCTTCACTGACTCCTGGGACACCGAGCTAGCCCCAGGGCGAAAGGGGGGGGGTGGCTAGCAGCTGGAGCTGTTTCTGGGGGAGAGGAGAGTTCAAGTTGGACTGGTAGTAACTGAACTCTTGGTCCACACATGGTCCATAGACATGGCAGGAGCTTTCCCTACTGGCCTCCTGGCAGGAGGCAGAGCTGTGGTCCCTCTTACCCCCACCGCCAGTGGAGCTAGCAGGTGTGAAGCTAAGTGAGAGTCAGCTGAGGCAGCTTGGTCCAGAGCTGAGTAGGCAGAGGGGTGATTAGGGGTTCATCCCATTCCTGCTTGTCCCTGCTATTCCTGGCCTCCCAACCCTGGGGAACCCCCACACCTCCTAGCTCTGCTCCTGCTTCAAGTTCCAGGCTGCCTGTAGGTGAGCAGCTGGCTCCCTCTAATCTGTCCTTTTTCTGTTTCTCCCTTTTCTTTTGCTGACCTCCTTGCCCACCCCAGAAGGCAATGTTGAACCGAAAGCGTGCGTCCCAGTGTCTCACACCTGTGCTCTTTAAACACAGAGACCTGCCAAGACGCCCTCTCGTCCAACTATGCCCAGGCTGAAGTCCTCACTCTCTCCTAAAGCGGCACCAGCGCGAGAGACAGACAGACAGACAGAAAACAAGCCAGAGGCTTAGCAGAACTCTGGAACCCAGACAAGAATCTTTTTGCTGGGACAAGCATCCTTGTTGGCACAGGACTGCTGGAAACCCTCCCATGCTATCCTCAGGGCCCAGAGCCATCTGGGTCTGCTGTTGTGTACATTGAAGAGATATATATGCACATATAGTATCTATATTCATACATACTATACTCTTGTGTGTAGTGCATGTATTAGTGGTGGTCTGTCTTCCTTGTAAGCCTGTCTACTTGAGCCCTTCCCCCACCCCAAGATCCTTATGCCCTTTCCTGTCCAACTCCTTGTTGTTTCCTGCTGACTCTGTGTGTGTGTGTGTGTGTGTGTGTGTGTGTGTGTGTGTGTGTGTGTGAGGTATGGGTAGGTAGGTGTGTGGAAAGTCCCAGGAAAAGTCTACATGGGAGCTGCCCATCTAGCTGGGTGATCCCAGGCCACTCCCTCTTGGGGGTGTTTCTCCCATCAGCCGGTGGCACATAGAAATCTGTAAAGGCCCAGACTGCCCGCCAGGGTCCCTGTTCCACTAGCCCCACCCCACCCCAGATTGGGGTTCTACCTCTGCCCCAAGCCCCAGTTGTGGGGGGACTTCCAGGGGCTCCCCTGCAGCCTCTTCCATCCCAGTCTGTGTCCTTGACTGAGGGGGAAGGGCATTTTGGTTTTTTTTGTTGTGTTTTGTCCTTGTTGTTTTTCTTCTGTCTCCTTTGTTCGTCTCCAAAGATGCTGCTGGGCAGGCGGGCAGGGAAGGGGTCTGTCTGCCCATCTGGCTCAGGGGTATAAGAAGGGGATGCTTCGGGCAAGTGGAGACCAGTTGCAATACTGTACTTCCTGGCCAGTGGCCAGAGGATGCGTGCAATAGCAGAGGCCAGGCGACCCCTTCAGCCACGGCCTCTGCCCCTCCCTCGGGCCTCCCTGGTGTCCATCATTCTTTTCTAATGCTACCCCTCCTGTGTGTCTGAGGCATGCCCAGGCCGGGCCTGCTGCCCTGTCTGCATGCCTTCAACTGTCATGCTGTGCTCGAGCCCCCAATAAAGACATCTGGAGCAACGTGTTGCTGTGCTGTGTGAGCGCCGGCGTCTGCCTCTCCCTCCTAGCTCTGAATCTAGAGGGACTCCTTCTGAGCTCCCACACCCAGTTCCTGAAGCATGCCTGCCCATTGTAGCGTAACCAGGCCACCCCCAGGGTCAGCCTGTGCACAGCTGGAGGCTGATGCTCCCAGAGGACACCGGGCATGGCCCAAGGCTGTGGAGGACTAAGCAGGACCCCTGGTCCCCAAGTAGTTTCTGTGACTGCCACCTGAGCCCTCATATTACATGGAAGAAAAAATGTTCTTGGTCCAGGGATTCCACTGTAAAAGTCGGGGGACAGGAGGAGATTCCCCTCTTCCCAGCAATTGCTCAGTTCTAAGAGGACTAAGTCCCCCAGGAGGTCAGTCATGGTCATGACTGGAGGACTGTCAGGTGGAGGCTAAAAAGGCATGGGTGGCACGACCTGACCTTGGGTCTCCTTGGGGATGAGGCAGGGGCACATGGGATGGGGAGATGGGAAGTGATGGTCCCATGTAGTCTGTGGCTTTCCCTGATGTTCCTCTCTCACACTCGCCTGGGGTGCATAAAGATCAGAAGCTTCCTGCCAACACTGTCACCTGCAACTTGTGCAGTGAGAAGAAGCCCGCTCCCCACCTTACCGCCCCCCCCCCCCCACATAGAGGCAGAGTGCCTATGCAGCTGTTAGCACTGTGAAATCAGTAACTCTGATGAGCAGCCTTGCATCTTCATTATGTCTGGACTATACACCTTGTGTCGCCAGGTCCTAATGCATGTCTACCTCTCAGTTCTGTCCTACACTATCCCCCAACCTGGCCCACTTGACTATCTTCAGGCATAAACTGAATCATAAGGGCCTCTGTTCCAAGATTTGCTAGCTGAAGGCCATCCCTCAAAGCTCATTTCCCTCATGTGTAAAATGAAATTCACAACAGTACCTAACACAGATACCGCATCGAGAGCCCAACTCAATGTCCTGTGTCTTTGTGATCAGGGTAAGTGCACAGTGAATGCTAGTTCCCTCCTGACCTTTGACCTTGAGCCCTCCACCCTTTCTCATTGGTTTCCGACATTTCCATGTCCAGACACACCAAAAAGCGACAAGGGCACACTCTGAGCTGTCTAGGGCCAAGAGTCAGGGGAAGCTGAGTGAGGGCTGGGGTCGGGGAAGCCTGTTCCTGAAGCATCACTGGGCTCAGAGCCTGGGCCAGCAGCAAGGCAATGGCAGGCAGCCAATTGTCAATTAAAGACAAAAATCTTTCCTCCAGCCACAGAGGGCAAGCAAGGGCTGTGCTTCACCCCCCCCCCCCATCACCCCACCCAGTTCCCCCTCTCCAGCCACCACCAGAGAAAGCCATTTGCAGCCAGGCTCCTTAGGAGCAGCTCTGCCAGGCGATAATGGGGTGGGAATGCACTGCTGGCTCCATAATGCTATTACGCACCAGGGCTGGTTTCAGATCAATGCAGAAACCATTTTGTGCTCAGAGCTTCAGAAACCAGAAGCAACTCAGGGGTACCTGGTGTCAGGTGCCAGGGATCCTCACAGGATGGAAAAGAGACGTGGGAAGGACGGACAGTGGTACAAGCTGGAAACCTTCCATATGGCCTTGCTCCATGTTGCCCACCTGCAAAAGTAGCAAGCTGTGCTGTTGAGGGAGGTGGGTCTCTGGCTTCTTCTGCCCAACTCCCACCTGAGGCTGCATTTGAGCCCCAACCCAGGGAGCCATTTCAAAGAAAGGGACACTAGTGATGGAGAAAGGCTTTGGGACTTGGGCTTGAAGCCCTGGCTCTATGACCTTCTAGCATGACTGTGGGTAAGTTCCTTAACCTGGCTGGAGCTCCATTTCCTTGTCTATAAAAGGGAATTATAATGGGTGTCAGCATCATCAAGCTATTGGGAGTGTTCAGTGAGCAGGTGCCTGCGAAGTTGTTCCATGGAGCTTGGCATGTGACCAGGGCTTACAGATGCTAGAGGTAGGTCCTTCCTGTCACGTGACAGCTCACTTTGCTGTCCTTCCTTTTCCAGATGGGTGCTGTGATGCCCTCAGCTCCTTGTAAGAGTTGGGGGGTTGACACTAACTTGAGTGTATACTGTGTATGCAGTATATTTCATGCTCACAAATAACATTTGAAGGTTGGTGTTCTCTGCATCTCACGGAAGAGGAAATTGAAACATGATGTTCAGGCTGTTTCTCTGAAGTCACACAGTGCCGAAGATGGGATTCACACCCCACCTATGTAGCTCTCTGAACCCTCGGGACCTCACCACTGTCTGAGCTGGGTAGGGAACAGCTATTATGGTAAGCAGGTTAAACTGCTGTTTGGGAACTCCACATTCTCTATTGGAGTACCTTGTTCAAGTCCCTGCCCTGTTCTAGTTTCTAGTTTCCTGTTACTGCTTCCCTTGTAGGGTGGGGGAGAGGAGTAGGTGATGGCTCAATTACCTGGGTCCCTGTCACCCATGCGGACGACCTGGATGGAGTTTCTGGCTCACTCCTTGCTTTTCCTGACCTAGCCTCAGCTAATATTGGGCATTTGTGAAATGAATCAGCAAGTGGAAGATCTCTTCTTTCTCCCTGTTGCTCCACTTTTCAAGCAATTAAATAATATTAGAATATAACTAAAGGATGAAAATAAGCTTTTTAAAACAAACAAACAAAAAAAATTGCATGGGCTTGTGAGTCCTGACCTCTTGTATTTAGATTTGTGGGGTTTTTTTTCCAGTATTTCTAGTCCCTTAATCTCAAGTGAATCTTACAGCAAAGATACAGCAAAGATACTGACTCCTCTTAAGAACCCTGGTTTGAGGAAGTAAGTGGTTTAACTCATTCTCCCCTCTGTGTGTGTGTGTCCCTCCCCTAACCCAGACATAGGCTTCAGTAATCAGCAGGAGGTGACCCTATCAGGTGCAACCAGGGTTTCCCCTGCAGGTGCTCCCTGGACTTTATTCTCTGGCTTCCAGAAGGGAAAACCTGGGGTGAGACTGGCCTGGAAACCGAGTCACATGACCACAGCTCAGCGTGGTCCCTGCCTTCCTTGGGGACTGGTTTCAGCCTCATCCCCACAGTGCTGGGGGTTACTGGAGAGGAAATGGTAGAAGGCAGGCTGGGTTTCTGGTGAAGAGCCCTGTGCATTGCCAAGTTAAGACAGTCTTTGGGAGGCATCTGTTAGCAGATCAACACAGAAGCCCATGACATCTTCCCTCAACCCTATTCCCATCCCTGGAGATGGTGCTATGACTGTCTGCTGAGGCGTCCTTCCCTGCCTTTTGAGAAAGAGTAGGTTGACAGCCAAACTGCCATGGAAGGTGGGCTGCCCTGTGAGGTGGGACGGTTCCTGTCCTTGGTGGAGAAATAGCAATGGACATGTTCAGGACAAGGTTTGCTGGAGACCTAAGATGTCCTCACTGGGGTCACATGATGAATTCAGCGAGCTTATGGCTCAGATCAGCCGCTTTCCTAGCACCCTCATTCTTAGTTCCATAACTGTGGAGTGGAATTACCTGCTAGACCACTCCTGTGCCTCTTTCCATTCCACCACGTATCAGGGCAGAGGAAAGTGCTGTCTGTGGCATTGCTAGTCTGGAATGACCCACGGGAGTGGCCACACTCGTGTGGCACCTCTGACATTGTTGTGTTGAGCACTCTCCTCCAAGCCCCAGATCCAGGGCCTGGTACCTACACAACAGGCAGTGTAGAAGCTGGCTGCATCTTGCGGGGCTGTGAGAACGACACTTGGGCCCAGGACAGCTTGCTTCACTTCAGAGAGCTGCCAGGACTCCAGTAACCAGGCTGTGTCCTAGCAACCTCAACTGCATCAACTCTGCCCCAGCCTGGACATTTGCCATCTTCCCCAGGGATTTCTAGATGGGTGATAATGAGAATTCCTGGGTGGATGATGATGTAT